CACATATATATATAATGTTACTCTTATAGATATTAGATAGTTGAAGTGTGCTGAGTCACGACAGATGTTATGGACTACAGGAACTTCTTGAAACACAAATTCTTTGCATCCACTGATGGTGATTCTGTTCTGCAGATTTCTTGGAGAGACACGGAAGGTTGTTCATGCGGGAAAATGCGTGTATACATGTATGGGTGTGATGAAGTCGGGGAAAACAACAAATTATCTAAAGGGAAACTATTTAGTTTACTTCTTTTGACCAGCCAAAAGGATCTACAGTATATACCTATCAATGTATGTGTTGTCCACCAACAGGTTCGAGGTGACGATCCCAGTAATCAACCAAAATTGGGGGTTTAAACATCATCCCATTTCCAGGGTTATAGCTGTAGACACAATTTCATGCACCGCATCAAACATGGAATTATTCCAAAAATCCATCCTTATCCCATGAAAAGAAATCCAAGAGCTTTTTTTTTTGGCTCTATCTCATCAATATAAATCTTGTTCATGTGGTAAACTGCCATGACTGCCATGACTGGTAAACCGCCTTTATCGCTACCATGACTGGGGATGATCGCCATAGGCTCTTGTTGTCGACGTGCTGCAGCACCCGAGCTGGACGGGCCCGGTCCCAGGTACCCGGAAAAAAAAAACACTGGCCAAATGGTGGAAAAATTGAATAGGAGGTTTCCATCAAAGGGCTCATAAATAATATTAATAATTATGTATTTATATATATCATATTATATGATAACATTATTTATATATCAGAAGTGAATAGGATTTCTGAATTAGTTTGAAATTACGGAATTGTTGAAACTTGTTTTGAATAAACGTTCAGCGTTGGTTCGCAGTGTAGGACCCCTTTGACGACATTGTCATGACTTGGGAGGATTCTGGGAGCACTTCCAGGAATATACACATTATATGCATATATAATACGTACAATAAATTCACCAAGATAGTGGGAAAGAAAATTCAGTGTCACTGATTTGGCACCCAGATGTCAATGATGGTGTTTTGGTTAACTTTAAGGCTTTAGTACTTCATCTTTGATCCCGTGGTATAGGGATATTCACCAGCCACGGTTTGATCTTGAGGAAAGCATCAGTGACCAGACATGCGTGGGTCGTACATGGTCATACCAATGCCTGCTGTTGGCGATAAGCGCATGTTTGCTAGCTGTTAAATCCATGTTAAATCCCATGTTCATGGTTGGATATCCTTTTTTTGCAGGTGAATCTTCCCATGCCGTTCAGAATCCAAGTTCTGCTTTTGCTGCTGAGATTCCAAACTGAGTTTCTCTGTCGGATCCCTATCTCCACATGACCTCGGGGTTAAACTCCCTATGTGTGTGTGTGCGCGTTAAGACCACATTCTTGCCTGCATTGGTTAGACAAATCCCTTTGTTTGGTAAATCCCTACTTTATCAATCCTCAAATCCTCAACTTGTTTTGGTTAAAGTACAATGGTTTGCAGACTAGTTAATTAAATTCAGGATTTCTTTGGTCACATTTTTTTTTGGTTGGTCATTTTTTTGTGTGTTACAGGTTTGTTCAGTTTGTCTTCTTAAATGCACAACTGTTCAAATGACTTACTGGTGCTTAGCAGGGAATGAGGGAATGATCCATAATCACTAGTAATCATCATCCAATTTCCCCATTCCCATCCATTCCCTACTAAGCACCAGTAAGAAATGCACAACTGTTCAAATGATTGCTGCTGGTTTTATAAATTCCCTACCTTCTCTTGCTCTCCCCGAGTCTGCATCCCCACGTCGCCCCAAGGCCGCGTAACACCTGCTGTGTGCTCTTCAACGATCTGACGCTGAACTACACGGTGACCTCGGATGCTTGGCACATCTTGGCACATAGACCCAGGGTGACCACGCTTCGATTCGCTTCGGTTAGGTTCATGCTTTCGGTCTATTCATTGTAGACCTTGAACGGTTCAATTATATGACGCTTAACCTGAATGAGTCCGATTGTTGGAATATCTTTAACATGTTCACTTAATACATTGTAAATAATAGCATGGTCGTTTCTACACCGCAAAAGTATCTGGGGTGGGAGCAACCGAAGCAATCCTGAGATACTGGTTTGAACATGGGGTATACGGGATACCCCCCAAAATAGCCATTCAATCTGCAAAATACCATGTGCAAGGTTTGGGTCTTACCATCACTAACCGTGGGGATAAAGGACCATGGGTCCGGATGGGTGTTTAAACCCTGGGGCGCGCTGTTACAATAACGCTTCTAAAGAATATTATATAATGATATTGAGCTTTGACATGGTTTGATCAGAAATGGAGAAGTCCTCAATAGAAGGCAATTTTAGTATATAATATATATGTTCAGGAAAAAACTATTCACACACCGTGTTTTACTAGAGGTGTTTAACATTGTTTAACATGTTCTCATACAGACCCAGATGAGGAAACTACAGAGAATGAGCATGAATGTATATTCCACCAGCGAAAAGCAGATACTTGAGGATCTTCCGGAGCCTATGCAAGAAGCATATCATCCCCCAGTTTTAATAGTTGGTTTATAAACCCCATTAATTATAGTGTACTATAGTTATATCTACCATAAATCATAGTTAAGCCACTTATAAGGCAACTGAACGCTATTTTGGGGGCCCCATCCTGTAGCCGTTTGCCGAAGTGGGGCTATGATTGATCCATGACTCGTCATGACTCCCCGATTCAGCTGAGGACTTGAGCCGATGTGCCCCTCGACAGCCTTAGTTTTTGGAGCGCTGGTGGGTTGCTGGAAGGATGGCACTGACAGCGCAGTTGTAATGTTGGTAAGCGTAAGAATATCTATCCATATATACACATTCAACTGACTATCCCAAAAAGGCTGATCTTTTCAGGTAAATTAGTAGAAGGTAGTCGGATGCGTGAGTGGGAAATGTATGACCGATAGAAGCGGCAAATCAGTGATGACAAGTCGCGATAGATGGAGGAAAATGCAACTAGCAACACTCCAAAACAAGGTATCGGTTGATGACCTGGGCATGGTTGATGAATCATAACTCATAGAGACACGCCACTCACTGAGGGATGAGTGACCGAAGCAGCAAAGGAACACGGAAAAAACAGTCGTGGCAAGTTGGTTCTATACCCAAATGTTTGGTGACATCACATGATATCACATCACATCTCTATTTTTCTTGTCTCCAAAATCTTGGAATATCTGAGAATCCCATAAACTTCTTTTCCAATGGTATTTTCAGGTCTTTGCGTCTTCACAACATCACAACATGTTACAACCGTTTTCAGATGTGATTTCAACCCGCCAGCATCCTGTGATCACGATATATCATGATGATTGTCCCAAAGATGTTGATGTTTGTTGGATGGTAATTCACCATTGGTATTTTAAGTGACACGGTTTCCATCAACTGACTGTGGCCAGAAGAAACATGTCTTCAATATTCTTTGATTGCATATATTGATTTTACCCTCTGGTAAACTAACATAGCTATTGAAAATGGCCATTTATAGTGAGTTTGCCCATTAAAAATTGTGATTTTCCATAGTTTTTTGTTTGTTTACCAGGTAACTTCATTTCTCACAGCTACCGGGTGCCCAGCAGAACAATACTCGACCAACGGAATGACCCAGACCCATTTTTTTCTTTGTCAGAACATGGAAAATAACGACCCTAAATTTGATGTTTATGAGCACAATTGTCCCAGAGTTTTTGAATGTGATGCTGGTAAATCTGGTAAATCCATGTAAATCCCACATTTTTGGACACATTTGAAGCCCTTTGTCCCGTGGATCCTTTAGATCCTTTAGGCACCTGTGGATGTCCAAGAACTTCCTGAAGATCAACGGATCAAGGCCCAGCAAAGTGATTTTTGTATGCGCATAAGACGACCAAATGTTCATCCCTCCAACATATGGTTATATTAATGGCAATATATTTGAATGGTTTTGACACATTCTCATAATATATGGGGACAACTTGGTGAATTCTTGGTAAATGGGCTGATTTGAAGACGTATGCAGGATGTTTCAATTTTCCCACTCAAAAAGCAATCTGGTTGGAGCGGTAGAAGTGTGGCCATAAAGAATGAACTATGTTTCACGGGTCCAAAGTTGAATTGGACTGTTCGTCTAAACAGGAATAGGCATAACAACGTAACCTGGAACATGATTAAGTGACTAAGTATAATACTACAGTGAGCAGCGATTGCTTGAGGTATAGCCACTGCTACTTTGCAGATCTAACCATGGGTAGGACTCGTAGGACAAAACACGCCCCGATTTGGGTGACTCAAAAGCCAACTGCCCAATGACTGGAATGACTGGCCAACTTTTTGGAAGCCCGAAACATCCCGAAACAAGGTCCCCTCTCAGATCTTTCATGCTGACATTTTCCAAGCACCAGATCAAACTGGTCATAACCAGACGCAGAGCAGAAAATGATCTGAGAATAGCAAATGGAGACGATGTTGGGCATGTAGAAGATGGACATTCTGTTGTTTGAGCCTCCTTACAAATGCCAAGACAAATTGAGGGATGTCAAACCTGCATGGAGGGTTCAAATAGATTCCAATGGTTCTGTCGTGTCTGAGCCAATTGAAAGTTGTTTGCCTGGAACATACCTTCCCCCAATGACTCATTGATGTTGCTCCAGAGCTCCTTGTTTTTTAAAGGGCATGTGTGTGCCAACGGACTCGTTACCGTCGCACAAATCCACATCCGGTAGCCTGGGGAAGGGTGGGGTGGGGTGGGGTGGGATAATAACGTCATTGGCATTTCCACATGAACCTGATGCTACGCTCTATGACCTTCAATTGCAATTCCACATGAACTTGATGCTACGCTCTATGATCTTCAATTGCAATTCCACACATCCGCATCCGATAGTCTGGGTGGGGTGGGGTGGGGTGGGGTGGGGTGGGGTGGGATAATAACGTCATTGGCATTTCCACATGATCTTGATGCTACGCTCTATGATCTTCATTGGCATTTCCACATGATCTTGATGCTACGCTCTATGATCTTCATTGGCATTTCCACATGAACCTGATGCTACGCTCTATGATCTTCAATTGCAATTCCACATGATCTTGATGCTACGCTTTATGATCTTCAATTGCAATTCCACATGATCTTGATGCTCCGTTCTATGATCTTCAATTGGCATTTCCACATGATCTTGATGCTACGCTCTATGATCTTCATTGGCATTTCCACATGATCTTGATGCTACGCTCCATGATCTTCACTGGCATTTCCACATGAACCTGATGCTACTCTCTATGATCTTCAATTGCAATTCCACATGAACTTGATGCCACGCTCTATGATCTTCATTGGCATTTCCACATGATCTTGATGCTACGCTCTATGATCTTCATTGGCATTTTTCCACATGAACTTGATGCTACGCTCTATGATCTTCAATGTGAGAAAAAGTTGCGGTTGCCCTTTTTGAGGCTGAAGTGATGGAAGGGTTGTCATTACCAAAGTAGACGGACCTTTTTTTCGATAGGTTTTGAATGCAAAAAGTGGCTCCTCGCTGTGAGGAAGTAGTAAATTTGATCATTTTCGCACGCCGGTAACGCTTCCGCCGGGATGTGTGTGTGTATATATATATATATACATATTAAATGTTCAACACATGGTTTGTTTCAGATGGGTTCAAAGCCATCTGCCAATTCATAATTCAGCAACAGGTCATTTTCAAACGAGGCCTGTGGACGGAAGAGTTACCAAATACTAAACGTGTCTCTTTTTGAGTCAGCAGATGAGTTGTGGATGTTCCTCCCATGTGGACATCAACGATTTATTGACCGCTCGAAGACAGCCGCGATGAAAAGATGGTCAGAGATGTCGCCTTGCAGATAGCTGGACAGATGGATAGATCGATAGATGTGTGTATATAAGTATGTACAGATGTGTATATACATGTATACATAATTATATATATATGCGAATTAGATGCGTTATGTATATATATATATAATTAGACGTGTAGAGTTTAGTACATAAATATCCGTACAAGCACACATGATGTTCACTCTTCTACATATTGAACATGAGCAAATTTGCGAATCCTGGTTGGGCCCCACCTTGCAGAAACTTGACCATTCCCATGGAAAAGTTGAGAATCAGTGGTAAAATGATTTAGAATCAATCCCCATAAAGTGGTTGGTCAAATCCTTCTTAGTGCACCATCTGGTAATTTAACGTAGCTATTGAGAATGACCATTTATAGTGGATTTTCCCTTTAAAAATGGTGATTTTCCATAGTTATGTTAGTTTACCAGAGGGTAATCCTGGTAATGTTTCCAGGAAATATCCCAGTATCCTCTCCTTTTTTGCACCCTGGAAAAGTTAAAAAAATACCAAGTGATGTGGTTTTTACCCAATGATGATTCGCATCCCCATTGCATCACCAGAAATGCCTGCTACGTTTACCATCCAACACAACTGGATTCATGACGATTGGATACGATTGGGTGTCCCACCATCCCTTCCGATGTTTTTCACATCAGAAACCCAATTTTTTGGGGGGGATGAACCCAGATGTTGGACATTTCTGGACAATTTTGCTTGGGAAAACCACAGGATCAGGTGGCGGTGGATTCGACTCAGCTGGGGCGCCCATGGCTTATATCCCAAGTATTAGTATAGTATATATATATATGTATACATACATACATATATATATATATAGAGAGAGTATATACATATATATATATACATATACATAGTGTAACTGGACACATCCTAATTACCCTAGCTGAAACACCAAGTCACCAAGTATGGAAGTGATGGATTTTCTGCTGATGTTTGTGTGTTTTGGTGGGTTTCAGCGCACATGACTAGGGAGGAAGCGGTGAGTAGTGGGATTTTGACCTTGAAGAGAACATTGGACATACCCCAGTTGCATCTGCGAAATCAACCATGAAACAACCATGATTTGTGCCATTGGAAGAGCATGAGTCGGGCATGGGAACTGGAAATTTAGTCTGGCTTTGCGGTATTTTAAGGTGATCAAGAACAAGGTGTGAAGGTCAATAAGAGGTGAATAAGGCATGGGTTGACTTGATCCATATCTTTTGATTTACAAATCATTTTTTTAGAGACCTGCAAATATGTCAGCCACAGGCCAGGACAGGCCACAGGTAATCCATTTGTTTGACATGACAATCAAATATGAAACCGTCATTGTTTCAACAGTGACGGCACTTGGCCTTGAGGCCAGTTGAATGTGCCAGCAACTTGCCGGAAGAGTATCTTGGACGCTGTTTGGTGCCCTGCCGACGTACCAGGTGAACTAAGCCACTAACCAGCTACGCTTCGGGGGGTGAAGCACCAAGTATTCCTAAGAGGCAAAGGATGAAGCAAGGGAGGTCCTGTTGCCGACCTTGCAACTGGCTGACTTGGGACTAACCATGGTTGCTAGCGGCACCAAATAGGTTTGTCCAAACATGGGAATACCCCCAAATAACGATTTTTATGGGAACAGAAATGATATGCCATGAAAAGCAGGTCTATCCTATATGTTTGACAAACCTACAGTAAATTATGTTCTTTGTTTCATGAAGTCCTATTTACTTGGCATATGGGTCTTGGGACAAGTCAAGAGAGTGGATCGCCCAGCAGCTTTGGTCGGTATGTGCGGTAGGAGTCAACTGTATACCCGAAAAATGAGATGCAAGGTTGAATATCTTTACCTGCACGACTGGGTCATATCCGGAGTTACTGTTTCCAAATATGGGTATGACTCGACAATCACCGAATATGGTTTTTGTTGGACCTCGCCCCGCATTTTTGTTTACCCCTAATCTGGCGTGGCGATCCCCTAGACTTTCATACCTTCATATTTGGGTTTGTTTGTACATAGGGTACTCCCAAATTTGATGGTTTATCGTGATTTATCCATGTTTATGCCTACGGGTTGAAAACCGTCCGAGCGTTTTAGGCATTTTTTTATATGTTCCTTGGGGTGGGGTGGGGTGGGGTAATAACGTTCACGTACTTGCGCACTCCCATGATGTTACGCCACGGCACGTTCACTTGCACGTGCGCACGTACGTCATGCTACGTTGAAGATGTGTCACGTCACGCAGGGGTGGTGGGGTGGGGTGGGTGTTAAGTTGCTAAGTCGTTAGCTGCAGGGCCCAACATGTGTTTTGACTCAGTGCCCGAGGGTCTAGGATGCAACAAGTGTTTTGAAACTTGCCGACTAGGACTAAAACACATGTTTGGGAAATCCTTGGAAATCCAGTAAATCCAGCGGGTGTCAATCTAGACGTGCCCTTTTTTCCTACTTGTGCCACCCCTGGAGATTTGTCAGCAACAATTTCTCCGCAATTGTTCATTGAGTTCTAAAATTCCATCAAGTTTTTACCAAGGTTGTGACATTTCATCAGGTTGTCACCAGGTTGTGAAAATTCACAAGGTTTTCATCAAGTTTTCACCAGGTTTTCACGCGGCTTTTTCAAAAAGTGTTCACCAGGCTGCACTAGGTTTTCAAACAGATTTCGACCGCTTTTTTGACCATGTTTTCGCCAAGTTTTCACCCGGTTTTCACCAGGTTTTCACCAGGTTTTGAAAATTCACCAGGTTTTCACCAAGTTTTCACCGAGTTTTCACCAGGTTTTCACCAAGTCTTCACCATGTTTTCACCAGGTTTTCAAAATTCACCAGGTTTTCACCAAGTTTTCACCGAGTTTTCAGCGAGTTTTCACCAAGTTTTCACCAGGTTTTCACCAGGTTCTCACCAAGTTTTCAGCGAGTTTTCACCAAGTTTTCACCAAGTTTTCACCAGGTTTTCACCAAGTCTCACTGAGTTTTCACCAGGTTTTCACCAAGTTTTCACCAGGTTTTCACCAAGTTTTCACCTGGTTTTGAAAATTCATCAGGTTTTCACCAGGTTTTGAAAAATCACCAAGTTTTCACCAGGTTTTGGTCCAATAAGATTTTCGATCCATTTTCACCATGAAAACACATAATTTTCACCAAAAAGTACGCTCAAAACACTTCTTTTGGTGAATTTGGAACCTGTAAAACACTTCTTCGTGTTCACAACAAAGAAATCACCAGGTTTTCACCAAGTTTTGAAAAATTCACCAGGTTTTCACCAAGTTTTGAAAATTCACCAGGTTTTCACCAAGTTTTGAAAATTCACCAGGTTTTCACCAAGTTTTGAACATTCACCAGGTTTTCACCAGGTCTGGAAATTTCACCAGGTTTTCACCAAGTTTTGAAAATTCACTGGGTTTTCACGCAGTACCTATCTCCAAAGTTCATCGGATGTTCGTCAGTTATTTTACAGTCAGCCCGGTGTTCATTAAAATATGAATTTTGAAATGTCACCAGGTTTGCGCAAGGAGCGAAAAGACCAAGCGAGCGTCAAAAATGATAACATGTGACCTGGATGTGCTTCCAAAATATCATATCATATCAATATCAAATCCCATTGAGATGCTTATACTTATACTGACAATCTCAGCTTTTCATATCCAACCAAAAATATCTAATTAGTTATTGTACGGTGGAACTTCCTGATACCACATGGTATTCACATGTATTTACAAATCATATTGAGGTCAGTAAAGTCAGCTGCCTTCAGTGGCATGTATCCAGCATTGAACTAAACATGCAGCTGAGGGATATCTTAAACCATCTTAAACCCACTGCAGAGGCTGCAGCATCAACAAGTGTTTTTGTTCACCTAATTTTGGGCCAAAACACTTATATGTGTTTTACGACTCTTGGAGCACTCCCAAAACACTTCTTTGGTTTTGATATACCGTCTCGGTCTGGACAACCCCAACTTAGCAACTTAACAGGGGTGGGGTGGGGTGGGGTAATAACGTTCACGTACTTGCGCACCATCGACTCATGCTGGCGTATGATCAAAGCCAGTGTTCCCGATCAGTTGACATCTTGCCCAGAAAACGAACAAAAATTGAATGACCTCATTTGGACGTACGTTCGCACATGGCAGTGGCGATGGGAGGCAAATGTAGTTGGAAAAGCCCTGTTGGAGAAAACAGGTGCGTACTTAGCGAAGATGTAGAAATCACCGGAAAAAATGGCTGCCGCTGAGGTTTTGGGCATGCTGGCTTCCCAAAAGGAACCTTTTTCGCACTCCGACATGTCAACTATATACAGTAAATCCCAATGAAAATTCAAAATCACAGTAGAATTGACCTTCATGGACAACATAAAAGCATGAAAAAAACATTGCGAAACGCATGATTGACTTCTTGCCAGTCACATGAAAATGCTGTTTTTACTCGGCCCATTTCCAACCCGGCGGGATGTTTATCCACCGTTTTTTGGCACTGAAATTCCTGAAAGTGCATTAAATTGGGGGTACACATCAGTTTCTGACCAGCACAGGGGGGATATCCAAGGCCAGAAGACATTCCTTGGTCGGAAGAATTGAAGGCGCAGCCAGAGAGGTAACGAGAGGTACTTCAGGTGGTTCGATTATTCTGACGTTTGGAATAAATCAATGGGGGTACCCCAAATGGTTGGTTGATATTGGAAAAGCCTTTAGAAATGGATAATTTAGGGGTACTATTTTAGGACACCCCGAATATACATCATGAATCATGATCAATGATTGAGTTGTAAGTATTGTTCTTGAGGTTTATGTTTAGAACGCCTTGGATGGTTTTGTTTGGTATGCTTTATATAGCCGTGGGTTTAGCGTATTGTTGATCACGGGCGGTTATGGGAAGTTTAACCCCTCGGTCAGACTGGGAGCTCACCTCAGCTTGGTGAAAGAAGATGTCTCAAGAACGTGATTACTTTGTATATATATATATATACACCCAAAAAGATCCAAAAGGTATTGTTTGTAGAAGGATGTGTAGAATATATATATAGTATTATGATAAGTAATCCCCAAAAAGATAGAGCAGCAATTCACCACTATTTTAACAGGATCCTGATGTTCTACAGTATCCTTTTGGACATGGCTATGTATATAATATACGTGTATATAATTGTACATATATATATATATATGACACACATTTCGTTCAATACAGACCAAAACATAGTCAACAGTTGTGTATAAATTCTGACATGTGTTCATTTTTTATCCGTACATATTTGTTGACATGTGTTCTGACATGGTATCTTGACGTATCGCCTGACATATCTTCTGATATCTCTTCTGGCATATATTCTGCAATATTCTTATTTGATGACACTTGTTTCGACCAAAATTACTTGACATCATTAATCCGTTCCATAGGATTTCCATAGGATTTCTGCCATTTTCCATGGGATTTCCATAGTTTTCTCCACCTTTGGGCCCAGGTTGACGCCTCTCTGGATGACACAATCCATTGGAGTCGAGCACGGCTGCGAAGGGCTGAGGAGGAGTCAGGGGCCCAGGATGGCCCAGGGGATCTCAGAACTTGGCTTCAACAGTGGCTTGTTCCACTTGAAGTGAACAAAACATATGGAAAAAAAATACCCTCTGGTAAATTAACATAGACCCTGAAACTGACCAATTTATAGTGGAAACTGGTCTTTCAACCATTTCAACCCCCATCTGGCAGGGTCTATGTTAATTTACTGGAGGGTATATGGAAAAATAGCGGGAAAATCACAAGTTGTTTATAAAACTTCCTATATTGTAGTGGTGAAAAAAAAACTGATCGCAATTTAAAGAAACATCGCCCAAAATCATCATTTTTATGGGTTGCATGGTACGTTTGTGCCATATGAGTGGTCACTACCTCTGGTGACGAACATAGCTGTGGCAAATTACCATTTTTGAGAACGGTAAATCCTCGTAAATCATGTAGACATAGGTGCCATTTTTCGTAGCTATGTTACATAATTCACCAGAAGGTAATATGAGCTAACAACGGTTGTCAATGGGTAATAACGATGGTTATGTTGCCGTATAAATCTCCATCTATGGTTATATTACATATATATATGGGGGGATATTATATTATATATATAATATATATTATTTATATTATATAATTTATATATATTAGATATACTATATATATTATTATATTATATATAGATTATATTATATATATTATACTTATTACATCTTATTACTTATTACTGGAACTGAAACCCCAAGCCAAGTCACCGAAAACACGGAGTTACATACCAGCAATCAAGCATGGCAAGCTCTGGTTTTCCCTTTTTTATTGTCAGTTTTTAGGGGATTTCCATGGATTTCCCAGCCGGTCATGTTTGACTACAAGAGGGTAGCCAGCAAAAAATTGAGGGTTTGAGTTTGAGTGGCAAAAACGTGCAAAAACAAGGTTTTACCGTTTTACCCACCAACCATTGGAATCTAACCAGCAACAATTATTCAATTATTCAATATACAATTCTGAGATGATTCTGGGCAAGAAACTCAAACTAGCCTCGAGGCTAGCAACCTGGTTGAAGTGGGCATGATCCTGCAATTCCCATTTTAGGATCCTGAAATTCCAATTTGTAGATCCTGCCAGTGTTCGAAACATGGGATGTACCGCCAATTTGCGATATGTTTATTTAATGGCAACAAAAATGCATTGTGTCCACCAGTAAGTTAACATAAAGACTGAAAACGCGAGATTATTTGCAATGGATTTTCAATATATATATAATATATATATAATATATATATATATATAATATATATATATATGACAACATTTGCTGGAGGGTAATCCCTGGAAATTCTCAATGAATTGATATACGTATGATATCAGGGAATACATTCACTGGAATCGTCGCTGGGTTTCTGGCCCAAATGGAGGGGTTCCCAGCTATGGAAAACGGACCATTTAGTCAGATGATTCTCAGCTTTCGAACACGGTGATGTTGCATAGCAAGCTGTTGCTTCCCAGAGGACAATTCATGATTAAAGCACCTTTGATATCACATGTCACTCCAATTCTCACTGAATATCCTCACGGTTGGCAACAAATCGCCACCTTGAATCAGCAGCATGATGTTGGTCAAATCATGTCACATCCCCATAGATCATCATTTAAGGGGCTTCCTGAAATGGGGGTACCTCCAAATCATCCATTTATATGGATTTTCCATATTGTTCCGTTGGAAACCTCATAGCTATTGGGATACCCCCATTTAATGGAAACCCACATCATTCATGGATGGATTATAGCCGCAAACGGTTTATTTTGGGGTATTACCCTTTTATGGATTCCCCCATTGGAAACCATCAGTTTTGATGGTGAAACCTCCTAACGTTCAAACGTCCCGCGGGACCCACGTTAAACCACCAAGGTTTAAGCTGCTGGAGTATACTAGACTGGCTTCACCCAGCAGCTGGCACAATGAGGTGGGGGAACCTTGGAGATTTACGCTGTACCCGGGGGGAAACATAGAAAAATGACATGGAAAACCAATGGGGGAAACCCATGAACTTCATCTACAAATAGTGGGTTCTCCGCATCTATGTTAGTTTACAGGAGGGTCACTAACAAAAATGAAGGGTGTAAGCATGAGCATATGGGGGCATGATGATTAACAATGATTTAATTAACAAAAATGATGATGTGTAATTGATTTATGTTAGCTAAGTTGGTTTATAACTTAGATAACCAGGTTTTGTTTTTTTGATCTACAGTGACTATGGGAGTTACAAACCAACAAACATTTCCCTGGGGGGCACCACCAATTCTGTGGGCTCATGAAGGTCCTTTCATTGGGTGGCTTTACCTTGAATCTATGAACTAGACACCTTTATCATAATCATCACTATCATGCATATATACATATATATATATATACATATATATATGTGTTGATCAATTGCATGGATACATGCAAACATGCATTGCATTGCGTTTCGTTCCGTTATGTTCCGTTCTGTCACGTTACTGTACATTACATTAAATCAGATTACATTACATTGCATGCACTCGTGCATACACGCATACATGCATACGTACGTAGGTACGTACATACAGACAGACATGCATACATACATATCATAACATTACTTTACATTACAATACATTACACTGCACTACACTACATTACATTACATCCATGCAAGCATGCATGCATACATACATGCAAACATGCAAGCTTGATGCATGCACACATACATACTCGCATACATAGCTATTATTTTGAATTATTTTGCAGTATATCGGTTTGCAATATTTTTCCATGCATCATCTCTTTTGACCAAATGAAAGAACCCTGTTTTTGTCGTGTGTTTTTTCATGCCCGCCCTGTGAGCCGGTGCCGCAGCCGCAGGTTGTGTACAGTTTGATGGTGGACCGTTTCGCGAATGGCGATCTCTCCAATGATCAGAGCAACATCCCCCCATTCCAGCAGCAGGATGACATTGGGAAACCAACTGAATTGGATGGGCAAAATTCCTGTATGATGAATTTGGTGCATCAATCATGTATATGATTTTGATTTAATTTTGATGTATCGGACATTTTCTGTCAAGCCTTTTAGATAAAACTCATTCGCCAAAAAATGAATATATTCACCTAACCAGCAAAAGAATTGCAGGGTTATTTTTTGAACTGGTTGGTGGTTTCAAGCATTTTTAATTTTCCATAATATATAATATATGGGATAATCCTTCCCATTGACTAATATTTTTCAAGATGGTTAAAACCACCAACCAGTGAAGATTGGGAATGATTCGGAATGATGATTCACGTCACTGGGTTCTCTTGTGTTTTGACCAAGAACACACATCTTTAAAGACAACAAAAACGGGGCGGGTAAAAACATGGATTCAAATCATGGGCAAATTGAGGCTCTTGGGGTATGATTACATGCGCTATCTCCTGTTTTTTTTACAATTTCAAAGAAAAATGGAACTTCATTTTTAATGGTTCCTCTCTTTCTATCATATAGTTAGATAATTTTAGTTATCATCATACATATTATATATACATATTATATATACATATTATAATATATATAGCTATGAGTTTTGGTTCGGGCGAAAAAAATCGGCAAGTCCAAGATGTTAAACCATCCCAACTTAAAGGGGGTGCTGGGGAAGGAGGATATACATGGTTTATTAACCACCTATGACAATGGTGATTCGGGGGATGGTTCAGAACATCGTTGCACACCATGTTTTACCCACATGAGTTTTTGTACAGCAAAATTAAAGCACATGCTTGGCCTTGACCTTATACAAACTATCATGCTGGGGAATGTGTTTCCTCTGAGTCAAGGAGCTCAAGGAGACAGATACTGCAACCAATGGTTCTCGTTTCCACAATTCGGGGCAGTGGAAGATCCACAGACCAATACCTTCACAACTGCATTTTTGTGTAAATGATGCAGGGAACATCCAGGATTTTCACCAATTGGGTCGAAACCATATTAATTTTCCCATAGATCGGACGATGTCGATTCATGTCGCTGGAGATTTTGCTGATCTTTCGGTATGCCGTTATGTCCTGACCCAGAGATGTGGCATGATTTTCTACCATGACAATTTGCTGCGGAGCATCCAGGAATTCAGGTAGAGCTGCCATTGGTTGATGGTCAAATCCCTATGTTCGTTGAGGTTTTTTTTGAGGACATAAAATTGTGATACAACAGCATTTCCTGGAACCCTAGTTTTCTTAGAAGTCACTAAGTCAAGTCCTAGTGAAACACTGGTGAAGTATGGTGTTTCCAGCGTTTTTCAATGGCTTCGAATGTGAGTATAAAGCAATAAACCATGATAAACCAGCGAATTCCGATGGTTTCTACCTGTTTCCACTTAAGCCCAGGATGGTAAGTCACTGATGGATCCAGGAGTTGAACGTGGGCGAACCATGGTCTGTCTACAAATGGCGCCATGGTCGTGGCCTTTAAACATCATGGCTGGTGGCTCCCATTGGATGATGGAATTCAGTGAAACATCATCATTTTATATGGGATTAACTATGGGATTATATATGGATTAACTATGGTTATATATGGATTATATATGGATATGAAGCAATTGGAATATGGGATTATATATATATATATGGATTAACTATATGGTTTATGGATTAAGTATGGTTATAATTTCTATAAATTGAATGTGAAAGCTGTAAATCCCATAATCCCCATGTCTTACAGCAAGAGAAATGCTGGAGGAACTTGGCGAAGTTCTTGTAACATACGCAGAAGTGGGGCTTTTTGGGTGTGAATATGTGGGGTTGCAATTGCCATAAATAGAGACAAACATGGGCAAACAATGGCAAAGGCGTTGGGGCTGGGGCAAAATCATTGTAAAGTCGTCTGCCAAAAAATAGGCCAGTTTATATAATCACCATTAATCACCATTAATCACCATCAAAAAACAGTTCAGGTCCACAGTTTAGGATCAGCATCTAGGGATGCATGGTGCCCAGGTGGTGATTTGCTGGGCGTCATGTCAAGGTGCTTTTTTGCTGCGCCGGCTGGGGACAGATTCGTAACCGATGAAACAGATCCTCCTAGTCAGACGGAGGTGTTAGTGAGGGAAAATCATCTACTGTAGACATAGTGGAGTTTCATGGATTTTCTATTGCCACGTTTGATTACCAGAGGGCACAGTAGATAAAAAGTAAAAACTCTAAAACAATCTAAAACAGTGATGACTGACTTTTTTTGGCGGGAGGGCTACATGGGGGTTACCCTATTAACTAAGACCTTAGCAAATGCACATGTGTGCTTCATATTTTTGACCATTTGTATATGTTACTCACAAAAAATATACAATAACATGACAACGGATTGCTTACCATGAAATCTTCGTCTTTGCCGTCTCAAAAAGTGCGCTCCGGGTTTCGATCTACTTTGGTGGGTACTTTGAGGGTCCAAAGATATGAATTTCATTGATCTTTATCATTTATAGTGACCTGGCTTGTGACCAAGTACCATATAAGTTAATCTCCACTTAAATTATGTATTGTTTCTTCCGTTGCATGTTTGATATCCAGCAGCTCACCAGCAATCACCGATTGAAGCAATAAGAAGTCAGTCAGTCCTCGACCAGGACTGGGATCAGCCGGAGGGGTCTCAAAATCATCCACCGATAAGCACTGCCTCATCAGTCCCGTCATTGCCAGGTCCTTAAAATGATTAGCGCCTTACATTTTTAAGCGGACAACGGCGGACAATCTTCAAATCTAATAGTTGATGATCATGTTTCCCATTAACATGACCATAACTTGGAGATGAATATGGATAAATCATGCTAAATCCATATATAATTATATATAAATGGGCTAACGCCCTGGTGCCGCCGACCCCCATTTTGAGGGCCATGGTTATTTGATGTTATCCGATGTGGTACTTGAAAATGGAGGATTTACCCTCAACTTGTGGCAATTCTTCCATGGGGGCAATGATGATAAACCATGGAATTTGAGGTGGTTTTTTTCCATGATTTTCACCAGGATTTTGGGTGATTTGAAGGTTGAAACTGAGGATTGTTCACCTGGGGGTCTTGAGACCTGCCGCGACCGTCGGACTGTTGATATGCGTCCTTTGGCTGCTGACTAGCTTAGAGCCTGTAAGAGGAGCTTGCAGCAGGGAAACAGCTCACCCATGGCAAAGCAGCGAAAGGCCATCGAAAGCTGCTGCGAGGGTTTTGAAGGTTTTGAGGGTTTTGAGGGTTTTAAGGGGTGCTGAAAACGTGCCAGATAGAAGTTTTGAAGCCCAATAGAAACAGCTTGTGGCGTTTCGGAAGTGCCAGCTAGCAATTTCGAAGCCCAACAGAGGCAGCGAAAGGCCGTCGAAAGCTGCGGCAAGGGTTTTGAGGCCTTTGAGGGTTTTAAGGGGCATGCTGAAAACGTGCCAGATAGCAGTTTCGAAGCCCAATAGAAACAGCTTGTGGCGCTTCGGAAGTGCCAGATAGCAGTTTCGAAGCCCAACAGAGGCAGCGAAAGGCCGTCGAAAGCTGCTGGGAGGGTTTTGAAGGTGTTGAGGGTTTTAAGGGGTGCTGAAAACGTGCCAGATAGCAATTTCGAAGCCCAATAGAAACAGCTTGTGGCGCCTCGGAAGTGCCAGATAGCAGTTTCGAAGCCCAACAGAAACAGCTCGTGGGGCCTCGGGAGGATCCATGGCAAAGCAGCGAAAGGCCGTCGAAAGCTGCTGCGAGGGTTTTGACGGTTTTGAGGCCTTTGAGGGTTTTAAGGGGTGCTGAAAACGTGCCAGATAGCAGTTTCGAAGCCCAATAGAAACAGCTTGTGGCGCCTCGGAAGTGCCAGATAGCAGTTTCGAAGCCCAACAGAAACAGCTCGTGGGGCCTCGGGAGGTCTCATGGCAAAGCAGCGAAAGGCCATCGAAAGCTGCTGCGAGGGTTTTGAGGGTTTTGAGGCCTTTGAGGGTTTTAAGGGGTGCTGAAAACGTGCAAGATAGCAGTTTCGAAGCCCAATAGAAACAGCTTGTGGCGCCTCGGAAGTGCCAGATAGGCAGTTTCGAAGTCCAACAGAAACAGCTTGTGGGGCCTTGGGAGCCCTTGGCAAAGCAGCGAAAGGCCGTCGAAAGCTGCTGGGAGGGTTTTGAAGGTTTTAAGGGGTGCTGAAAACGTGCCAGATAGCAGTTTCGCCCAATAGAAACAGCTTGTGGCGCCTCGGAAGTGCCAGATAGCAGTTTCGAAGCCCAACAGAAACAGCTTGTGGGGCTTCGGGAGGGCCCATGGCAAAGCAGCGAAAGGCCGTCGAAAGCTGCTGCGAGGGTTTTGAGGCTTTTAAGGGGTGCTGAAAATGTGCCAGATAGCAGTTTCGCCCAATAGAAACAGCTTGTGGCGCTTCGGAAGTGCCAGATAGCACTTTCGAAGCCGAACAGAAATAGCTCGTGGGGCCTCGGGCCCATGGCAAAGCAGCGAAAGGCCGTCGAAAGCTGCTGCGAGGGTTTTGAGGGTTTTGAGGCTTTTAAGGGGTGCTGAAAACGTGCCAGATAGCAGTTTCGAAGCCCAATAGAAACAGCTTGTGCCAGCCAGATAGCAGTTTCAAAGCCCAACAGCTTGTGGCGCTTCGGAAGTGCCAGATAGCAGTTTCGAAGCCCAACAGAAACAGCTCGTGCACGGGGCCTCGGGAGGTCCCATAGCAAAGCAGCGAAAGGCCGTCGAAAGCTGCTGTGGGGGTTTTGAAAGTTTTGAGGCCTTTGAAGGTTTTAAGGGGTGCTGAAAACGTGCCAGATAGCAGTTTCGAAGCCCAATAGAAACAGCTTGTGGCGCTTCGGAAGTGCCAGATAGCAGTTTCGAAGCCCAACAGAAACAGCTCGTGGGGCCTCGGGACGTCTCATGGCAAAGCAGCGAAAGGCCATCGAAAGCTGCTGCGAGGGTTTTGAGGCTTTTAAGGGGTGCTGAAAACGTGCCAGATAGCAGTTTTGAAGCCCAATAGAAACAGCTTGTGGCGCTTCGGAAGTGTTAGATATAGCAGTTTCGAAGCCCAACAGAAACAGCTCGTGGGGCCATGGCAAAGCAGCGAAAGGCCGTCGAAAGCTGCATGCTGGGAGGGTTTTGAGGCCTTTGAGTGTTTTAAGGGGCGCTGAAAACGTGCCAGATAGCATATGGCAAAGCAGCGCAAGGCCATCGAAAGCTGCTGCGAGGGTTTTGAGGGTTTTGAGGCTTTTAAGGGGCATGCTGAAAACGTGCCAGATAGCAGTTTCGAAGCCCAATAGAAACAGCTTGTGGCGCTTCGGAAGTGCCAGATAGCAGTTTCGAAGCCCAACAGAAACAGCTTGTAGGGCCTCGGGAGGACCCATGGCAAAGCAGCGAAAGGCCGTCGAAAGCTGCTGCGAGGGCTTTGAGGCCTTTGAGGGTTTTAAGGGGTGCTGAAAACGTGCCAGATAGCAGTTTCGAAGCCCAATAGAAACAGCTTGTGGCGCTTCGGAAGTGCCAGATAGCAGTTTCGAAGCCCAACAGAAACAGCTCGTGGGGCCTCGGGAGGTCCCATGGCGCGGCGAAAGGCCAGTCGAAAGCTGCTGTTTCGAAGCCCAACAGAAACAGCTTGTAGGGCCTCGGGAGGACCCATGGCAAAGCAGCGAAAGGCCGTCGAAAGCTGCTGCGAGGGCTTTGAGGCCTTTGAGGGTTTTAAGGGGTGCTGAAAACGTGCCAGATAGCAGTTTCGAAGCCCAATAGAAACAGCTTGTGGCGCTTCGGAAGTGCCAGATAGCAGTTTCGAAGCCCAACAGAAACAGCTCGTGGGGCCTCGGGAGGTCCCATGGCAAAGCGGCGAAAGGCCGTCGAAAGCTGCTGCGAGGGTTTTGAGGGTTTTGAGGCTTTTAAGGGGTGCTGAAAACGTGCCAGATAGCAGTTTCGAAGCCCAATAGAAACAGCTTGTGGCGCGGAAGTCGCCAGATAGCAGTTTCGAAGCCCAACAGTAACAGCTTGTGGGGCCTCGGGAGGACCCATGGCAAAGCAGCGAAAGGCCGTCGAAAGCTGCTGCGAGGGTTTTGAGGGTTTTGAAGCTTTTAAGGGGTGCTGAAAATGTGCCAGATAGCAGTTTCGAAGCCCAATAGAAACAGCTTGTGGCGCTTCGGAAGTGCCAGATAGCAGTTTCGAAGCCCAACAGAAACAGCTCGTGGGGCCTCGGGAGGTCCCATGGCAAAGCAGCGAAAGGCCATCGAAAGCTGCTGCGAGGGTTTTGAGGGTTTTGAGGCTTTTAAGGGGTGCTGAAAACGTGCCAGATAGCAGTTTCGAAGCCCAATAGAAACAGCTTGTGGCGCCTCGGAAGTGCCAGATAGCAGTTTCGAAGCCCAACAGAAACAGCTCGTGGGGCCTCGGGAGGTCCCATGGCAAAGCAGCGAATCTGCTGGGAGGCCTTTGAGGGTTTTAAGGGGTGCTGAAAACGTGCCAGATATAGCAGCTTCTGAAGCTTTTGAAGCTTTCAAGGCGCGATGGAAAAGCACAAAGCAGGCACCGGGCCATGGCCATGCAGCACACCTACGGTGATCCCGGGCGCCGCCCCGCCTAGGCCAAAGCTAGGCAGGGGTCGGCGGATATATACATAAAAATGTCCAGTTTCAGACACACCCAAATGACATCGCCATTGGTCCAAAGTTTGACAGCTAGTTGAGATCGGCGCCAATCGGCAGGTTGTCCTACTTTCATCATTTGGGTGTGACGGTGGTAGCGCTGCCAGGGGGCCTTTTTTTCGCCGATTTTTCGAGGAATTTTGGTTGAAGGCAGCCATTATCTATTATATATATGGGTTTGTCTGAAAATAGTGTACCCCTACACCCAATGGTTAATGATCATTATCCCTACTAAATGGCTATAATTGGGGGTATACCCCATTTTCAGACATACCCATATAATACTGTTCTGTTGGTATAGGCATAACATTATAGGCTATAGGCACTGGTGCTATCTATGATATAGATTGATATAGGTGTTTTTGAGAAATTGTGGTTACCCTTTATTGGTTTCTTTCAGCTTATTGATAGCATGTTGCAAAATGGAAAATGATCACAGCCATCGATTATTTCATTTTGGAAAATTGTATATTATCACAACCACCGGGTGGGCATTATGAGGTACAAATGGTACATATGAGATATAAGTGGTGGATATTAACAAACATAATGGGGAACATGTCTGAATATGTTGTGGGATAACAATGGGGTGATGATTCTTTTTTACCGTATTTTACAGTAACAGTCCGGAGATGGATTTTGCTTACGGCAAGTGATGGCCAGAAAACTGAGGTTTTGAACCGCTAGACCGCTAGATTCTGGGTAGACAAACCTACATGGAGGTATAAGCTCTGGATGAAGCACTGTGATGTCACTGGAATGATGGTTCGCAAGGGGAATCATCCCCACATGGGCGCCTTATTTTAGACATTTTAAAGTTGGTGAATCATTATAATTCAGCCAGGTATGAGTTCCCAGTTTAAACATACCATCCGTGATGCCAGAAAACCCAAGAACCATAATCCCTAAATCACTGGGTATAGCTGTCCGCGCAAACACACTATGGATGGATCATTGGTATGGCCAATGTAAGCGAATGACACTTAAAAGATCACAGAAGACAAATACCAATCTATGGCCTTTACTATAATATGCATTAGTAGGATCACCATAGTTTTATATGATTACCCCATATATATATATATTGGATATATTGGATATATTGGATATATCCGATATATCCCCCATATAATATGCAATATTAGAGGCCTCTATTTTAAGCACCTACAATGCTCAAGGAGCGTACAGTTGTGGCCAGCCGTGGCCAGCCGTGCTTATGACCTCCAAGGTCTCCAGTTTTCCTGAACTCCAAGGGCGAGTGCGCCATGCCCCACTCCTTTCGTGCTGATTACTCTTGGGGATTACTATGGGATTACATATTATCTAATTATTATCTATTAATCAAATGGCTTGGATATAAATAATTGGATGATAATGGGGACAATTTGGATTGATATTTTCAAAGGGGAATTGATGTCATATTGTTGTTGTTAAGCCACGCTGGGCACAGCAGCCACGCAGCTGCAATGCGTCAGAGAGGACTATTGCAAACTGTTTCACTTGTTTCAGGGAAAGTCAATGTTTTGTAGCCAAGCAGCAAACATAGAAAAGTGCCGTTTATCTACTTTGCAGCAAAGCCTTGCTCGATCGAGCAGAATCCATTTTTCCCCCTGGGCCAAACCATGCTATTGAATCGCCCAGTTTGTTTCTTCCTGCTCTCTGGAAATGAGTAAACCTAAAGTCCGTCAACATTTGCGGTTAAAACCCAAAAGAACCACAGATTTGTTGATGAATGTACCTTGACCCTCAATGTAAGCATTAGCATCATTAGCTTGTCAAACAAACACAAATTCCCTGTTTTTTTTTTCGTCCATTGAAGGTACCTCGGTTACCTCGGTAGCTCCAAATGCCAGATGGTCCGTCCCAGGTACCATGGCTTTGCTATCAGTGACATCTCCAAGATTGACCCTGGTTTTGGCCCTGCCCTGAGATCGTGTGAGAAATTAAAACCCATAGTTGATTGGTGAATAATATATATATATATGATATATATATATATAATATATATATATGGACTCACACTAGCGGTTTGTTGGGGATTTTTCTGGCCACCAATAGGGATGTTAATGAGCTATCAACCAACTGCAATCACCTCCGGGGATTGTTGCTGGTATATGCTACCCTCCATAGCGGCACAACAGATGGTCAAGCTTCGGGAGACCATCACAACGTGAATCACGTAAAAGGTGTTTCTTTGGGCATTACCATGCCCATGACGGATCCATATATGGTGTGCCATGAATCCCATGAATATACCCCAGTCATGTTAGTATATATACCAACACCATGGATCCGTCATGGGATGTTTAATCAAATGTTTGAATCTATACAGACCCAGGCTTTGTGGAACTTTGCTGTCGCCAGGTGACGCTAAGCTTTTAAGGACTTTGGTGCACGAGGCGGGTATAAATGGATGGCGTTCCCGCGGTGGGAAATCCCCTATAAATGAACATACTTCAATAGAGGTTTTAATGGGACAAATCCATGAACATCCTCTATAAATAAGGGATTTTCCAGCCAGTCATGTTTGATGACACCGAAGGGTACCTGCAATAGCTAAAATGATGACTAACTATAGTGAATGGAATAGGGTCGCCTATTTTTGGGCAAAACCATATCTTACAACATGTGGTGAATTGTCTACTTTAGGAGGCATGAATGATGCAGACTTTTCAGTTCGGGTTCCAAACCTCATACATCTACACGGCACAAGCAAGGAACCAGGGAGGAATGATCAGAGGGCGCATTGAATTGGATACCAATGCTGAAATTGCAAACATATCAAAAATGGAGGTCGAAATATTCGACGCTCAGAAAGCCCAATTCTTTGGGTTGATGTCTATAGGATCATCAAATGTCGAAACGTAAAGAAATGTTCTATCCTTCCTGGGCCATAGCGTACCCAAGACAATCACTTCATGGTTTGGGCACGGTTTCAATGATCCCGTCTCACTTTCCCCATATTTCTAGATACAAACCGTTTGGGCCCAGATAGCGAAAAACCATCCAACCTCGGTCCCGGCAGTCCCAAAGTGAGGCACATCAACTTGGGATCCGCATTGTGTCCAAGCCTCAAATGGATGTGGATATCGAAATCATGAACACCAGGATCATGCTTGCTGCTTACCCATGTTTTCCCACATGTTTATGTAAATGCATAGGATCGAGTCCAGGTACATCTTGAAGGTCTGTACTCTTTGGTTCCAGCCTGCAGCTGTAGTGCCAATTCCGGGAAGATGAAGGACTTATATGGGAGAACTGCATAGATCCATCATACTTCCGCAATTTCAGGACCAACTGCATCCCACTCAAATCAGTGTCCAATCAATCCCTTGGTATGTCCCGACTGATCAATCCCACAAATCCCATGATATGTCTGGTTATTTGTTACATAGCGAACTGGAAGCCATGGCCCATTTACAGATGATTAATTTTCCAGCTATAAACATCCATTTAGAATGGTTTTCCCATATAAAACCAGGTTTTAATAAAATGGTTAAAACTTCAACTGACTCTGGATTTTTTAATATGGATGGCCCATTAAAAAAACAGATGGTATTTCCAGTTGAAGTCGTGTCAGGCCGCCTCCCGCTCAGGATGGATCTTCAGGTGAACCACCTCTCAGGTGATTTGCACTACAGGTGCGCGTCCCATGGTGAAGGCTTCACGGAAGATGGAAAACATGGTGGAAACCCATGGGAAACTAAGCCATACTTAAGGGAAACCTATATATTAAAATATATTAAAGGTTAAAGATGGCGATTCCCGGCCATTCCTTTTGATTTTCTTCGCTTTCTGTTGTTTTTTGTTTGTAGTTCTTGTCAGGTAACTCAGGTAACCACTAGAAGTTAAAACAACTTAGCAGAGGAGCTGGGAAGGACCATAAATTCGGGTGTTCCCGTTGAATCCCCTGCGTTGAGACACTCTATGTGCCATGTCCAAAAACCATAGGGAATGGCCAAGTTTTGGGGGAATGGTCATGAAACCATAGGGATTTATAGTGTACTGTAGCCATGATGCACAAGGAATCCAATTATCTGGATGAGCATAGCACATAGCACGAGGTGGTCTTCCCCATTTGTGTTTCTTGGTTGACAAGCCCACTTATACAACATTATATAACTATAGTCTATAGTTATAATGTAATTGCAGTAGTATTTATTAATTACCATAGACCCTATATTATCCTATATTAACACATCAGTAGAATAAGCCAACATGTTCAATATGTTGCCTTGTTCAGGCAGAGCCACAAGAACGGAGTGGATCAAGTCAGCAGTTGCGTGAAAAGTTTAGAAGAGGCGGATTTTTTTCGAGTGGAAGCAAGATGTCCAAGCCAACATTGAATCATGTTAAATCTATGTTTGGGAATATCTGAGATCTTTAGGGACTACTTCAAGTGCATAGAAACTCGAGATTTACATCTCAGGTTTAGGGTTGAGCATGGACCCAGAATGGGGACTTCACATGGAAAACCATGGGGGGTATGTCAAAGAAACCACTGGTCGTCTTTTTTTTTGTTTCCTCTTGCTGTTTCGAATTCACCAGATGCTGATCCCAAGGTGCTGGGCGATTGATACCTAGGCCCTGTTCAACCCCAACATGTGGGTATGTTTACCAAGTTTCATGGAGACTTGACTTTGAGGGGTGGAAAGGTTCACGTAACAGCAAGCAAAAATAATGGCTAAACAACCAACGAGCAATACATGGATGGGGATATAACGATCAACTGGTGGAGATTTGTCTCAAAGATATCTAAAACATTGGGTTGCAGTGGTAGGCAACTGGGGTGTGAACAGCAGTTTCTATGAGATTGACACCGACCCCTGACTTTGACAAGCATCCATGTTAAGGGTATACGTTTAGGTAGGCCAGTGAACCATCCATTATGGTCGGTGTAGCTATTCAAAAGGCCATTTCTGGTTGCCAGTTCTAAGAAAGCAACGTCTTATCCCGCCACGATTGAACCGGTGTGTTGATTATCATCATCCCAGAATTCGTTGCAGACAAAAAATATGTTAGAAAACTCAGTAGTTGGTAGTAAATCCATAGGTTAACCGTATCTGTTTCCCTTTCAATCAATCCATTGATGACCAACATTTGTTGTTTCAGTTCCCAATTTTTCATGGTGGACTCTTCATTTTTCATGTTCACCCTCTTGTAGACTAAGATGTGGAAAAATGTGGAAAACCCATCATAAATTCGTAGATTCGAGGAAAAAACATGGCTTTTCCACATGTCTTTGATATGTTTCCAGGGCGTCCAAAATCCCATGGCATCGCTTTCCCTGGCAAAAAGGTCTATCGGAACAGCAGTGGACGTCCACATGCGAAGCGATCGCAGCGGACTGAGACGGATGGTAAATGTAATGGTTGGTGGTAAAAAGTATAGTTGATGCAACACCGAATCATAAGTGTAGATAAGGATGATATTGTAATATATATATATATATATATGTATATTATAAATATAATATATATATATATATATATACGTAACAATATAATAATATATATATATATGTTTGTATATTATTACATATATATATATATATGTAATAATATTATATATATATGTAATAATATACGAATATATATATATATATCATATTATATATGGTAATAACATGGAATGTCCCAAGCTTTACTCCACGGAAAGCCCAATGCCTCTAAGGCACCAGCGGACCTTGGCGTTGGATCAGATGCCCAGATATTTGCAGCACCAGGAGCGATGGGGAGATTCAGGTGAGTATCTATGGCCAGTGGGCCAGTGGGGTATCATATGCGCGGAACATACATACACATATGAAAGAACACATACATAATATGTATTCTGGGATACAATAATATATAAACCTCAACCGGTTTGTTGATGATAATTATCCCATAATAGTAATTATTCTTAGAATTATATACATCCAGACATACATATGAACAATTCCACACAGTTATAAATTAAACTATATCGATGTGACCATGTAAATATGTGATCATATAATCTGTTTGCATGCATACATATGAACCTAAATATGTGACTACATCTAATTATGTATAGACAATAATATATATATATATACACATGCATGCATGTACATTGCTTATTTTTATATTTGATTATAATTTGTTCATTACATATGATACTATATACATTTATACATATACATATACGCTGCATACATTCAACAACATATCCCAGATTTATTTTGAAAGTGAGGTTCTGATCGTCATGCTGAAGAAAACACGCACCAGACTCGTGGTGACAAGTTGACCCAGACCAGTTTGAACCCTGGCATGAGTGTGGCCAACAATGACGCCAACAAGAAGACAACAATTGATGCTCTTTCTGACTAGGAGAATTGGAAAGCAACACAGTACAACCATGTACAACCTAAAATTAACCCTGGCGAGAGAAAACACAAAAAACAAGATTAAACATGCCCAAATACTAGGGGACAGACCCCCATTTAAGAGATCCACTCAGTCACAGTGAGCATCTTCCACTGCAGCCTGTGGGGCCAGGAGTTCTTTGCACGCTGCGGGCCTCGAGACATGTGCTCCACTTATGGCCATTACAAACATGGGGAATAGCCATTGGAATGGTAATTTCGATTGGGAAAATGGTGCTTTTAAATGGTTTGACCCAAGTGAAATTGGTGGTAGCATATTTTCAGACAAAACCATCCAATCTGAGATGTAGTCCTTTGTTTCAAGGTGCCCGGGGATAGTCTTGCTATGCCCTTGACAGGCGCATTTCGCCCGGGGAAGTCCAAAAAAAACGATTTGCAAAATGACTCGGAGGGTGTGGCCATTTTGGGCCAAGCCCATGGCAAACTGCAGGGATTTTCGGCCGGTCGATTCGGCGAGGTACCGGCCGCATCAAAATTCCTACTTCAATGAACCGCATGACAGTGAAGAGTATGAGGCTGGAGGGTGTTTTGGGTGTTTTGGGGCAGCTGCCTCCAAGTTATTTAAGGTTATTTTAAGGCTGACTACGGTATGGGTCGTCGTTTCAAATTGGGGATACCACGAAATAGTCAAAATCGACCTTAAAATTGGAACACATAGTTTAAACCATTACATTCGAAGGTGGACCCCGTTGTGAGATAAAACAAAACGGCATCTAATCAGCCCATTTTTTTTGATCATTCCTTTGCATACAATATTGGGTAGGTGTTACCGTCCCTGTGGGGAGCAAGGATGCACATACCGGAGGCCTGTTCCTGTAGATGAACCATAGCATCTGAAGAGTGAAACCATTTCATTTTCCGGGTTTACAGGCTGCTGTATTTGTTTGTAAATTACAGGATCTCTACATATAATACATATATATATATATATATACAGTATATAGATATAGATATACAGATGTGACACATTCATAAATCTCATAGACTCATAGATATAAACAAAAAAAACATATATATATATATATAATATATATATATATATTATGCATGTACAAGTTCCCCTAAACCCACCGGGTAGATTCGTGTCCATTTTCCAGCTGTGGGCTCGAACAAATTTCACGCATCTCCGTGGCAACTGCATCACATCCCATCATGGCAACTGTGAGTCAGGACTGGAGTCCTGTCGAGGTAGACATGGCCAGTGAAAGACTTAAGCTGCAAACATTTGATGGATTCCTAAAATGGTGTTACCCCAAAACCATTGGTTTCAATACTAAAATTGTCTAATTTTGGTTGATTTGGGGGGTACCCCCATTTAGGAAAATGGATATGGGTCAAAACCCTGCTACCCTGGTCAACATCAAAATGTTCATGCCCCCAAACAAATGAGTATCGTAGAGTTTTTACTTAGCTTCATTTGCCAAGAGAAGGGATTGATTCAAGGCATACATTGTACAACTGCGTTGTGCTTTTATGTCGTTTTTCCCCCATGAAGTGGGATGATGACCCCAAACAATTTTTATTCTTGAGATGGGTTGAACACGCCAAGCAGCAACGATACACGCTCATTTCATACCGTTGCTGGTTTCAGTTATGCATTATCTTCCATCCTGCCTGGGATGATGTTTCATCCGGACTAGCATAATTATAACATATTATGACTGGTTGGTGGTTTGGAACATTTTTTATTTTTCCATATAATTTTTGGGAATAATACTCCCAACTGACTAATATGTTCCATCCAAGTGTTTATTCCACCTTGATTCGGAAAGCCATTACCGTAACTGTTGCAACCGAAGATTTCCTGATGTGCCTATCCACCCAAGGATCATAAAAACCACGTGTGTAGGTAACGGTAAAACGCATCCAAGCGGGTACATTGCTGGTGCCGAATCTAATATGCCCATTAGTGCAAGAAAGTCTCTTGCACTTGCTTTCCAGCAGGGTCGCAATCAGCATCTGACTAGGTGGGATTTCCCCTTTTAATTGTTTTGGTGTCAACGTTGCATGTTCATTTTGATGAGACCAACACGGTCTAACTGTCTGAACCCCTCATGCGTCGCGAGCGCATGAGCAGCAGTCGTCCGCACTTCTGCATGGTGTGAAACAACTGACTAAGATTTTTCAGAGGGGTTGAAACCACCAACCCTATAAATATATATATATGATATGATTTCAAGGGGGTGAAATCACACATCATATTTTTGTTTGTTCAAACAGCATGTTGACGGCTGAATTCTTATTTATTGGGGAATGATGGCCGTAAGATTGTTTGCGGCAGCTGTGTTCAGAATGTAGGACCCCTCATCAACTTGTCAGGAAAGAAGCTTGGGTGGTCTGTGCGCAAGTTGCATTGAACAACAAATTCGCACATGCAGCTCTTGGTCTTTGCTGAAGTGGAAGCACTTGGTAGGCGTTTTTGAAACTGCCATGATCGGAGGTCCAAGACATTTGAGCGGTGTTCAAAACCTCTGCGATTATACTACCCAATGTATTGGGGACTATCATATCATAACCCATGAACTGTGACACGTTAATCACGTTATAACAAGGCGTAAATGCCCCAAATCCGCAGGAGGAACACGTGGCGCCACGTGTGAACGCCTTCCGCAACTTCATCGCACAGGCGCGTGACCGGGTCACCAGGGGCTGGCGTGGACAAAACGGTTGGGAGTTGCAAATGCTAAGCAAGGACCATGGGGGTTGAAATGTGGTTGATGTTGAACTGCCAGGTTTGCATGTTAACCCCATTTAACCCCTATGTTTCAGTAATATAAGCGTATGACATGGCTTGATTTTTTATTGGGTCTGACATGGCTTTTCAGCAACGAGAGATGTTGTGGATATATATAATAAGAGTAACCGACAAAATTAGCAGAAAACGAAAGTAGTAAGGAGTGGATATGGGATGTTCAAATGTGTGTAAAATCCTTCACAACCGATAGGGAACCACCCACTTACCGATACCCTATTTTTATACAGTACAAACCTTCGCAACCGATAGGGGACCACCCACTTTGGCCATGTACCCTCCGGTGCCATCAAACGTGGCTGGCAATGGGAAATCCCCTATGGTATTACATAGTGGGAAAATCATCTAGAAATGGAGGTTTTAATGATTTTAATGGAACAAATCATCGCACTAAATGGGTGATGTTCCAGCAAGCCGTGTTTGATAAATGCATTGATTTCAGGCTGGTGATTTATTCCAATTATTCACATAAATTGTTGGTGGTGTGACCAGATTTGCAACTGAACATTTTGGTCGACCAACGTTTTTCATGCTGGACCACTTGAGAGCTCACTTCAATATACCATAAACAGCATAAACCGCAGAAACAGCCTTCATATCCAAAACAGTAAAGTGAATGTTCCAACCTTGAGATACATGCCAAGTCAAGGATGTTTCTATGGGTCATGTTCGAGTTTGTTTAGGGTTAAACAAGTGTTGTTGCTTTGTTGGTAAGTAAGACATTTTTTGATATACATGATATATATATAAATTATAATATATATATATGATATATATATATATATATATTATGATATTGTATGTATATATATATTATATATTCTATATTGTATATATATTATTATATATATATATTATTATATTTTATATATTATATTTAAATACTTTATTTATATAATATTATATATATATATATTACATTATATATATTATATTATATATTTTATATATTATATTATATTGAATATATATATATTATACATAATATATTATGTTTTATTATATATTTTTTTCCCCACCTGCCAGGTGAGGGTTGTTAGATTTTATCTAAGTTGCCTGCTCCTCCTCCTCCTCTCCTCCTCCTCTCGTCGTCCTCCTCCTCTCGTTGTCCTCCTCGTCTCGTTGTCCTCCTCGTCCTCCTGCTCAACTGCGACTCGCGATCCACAGTGTTCGCTGCCGGACCTCAACCACGACCATCCACGCCCAGTGTTCCCTGCCGGACCTCAACCACGGCCATCCACGCCCAGTGGTCCCTGCCGGACCTCAACCACGGCCATCCACGCCCAGTGTTCCCTGCCGGACCTCAACCGCGACCATCCACGCCCAGTGTTCCCTGCCGGACCTCAACCACGACCATCCACGCCCAGTGTTCCCTGCCGGACCTCAACCGCGAGTATCCACGCCAAGTGTTCCCTGCCGGACCTCATGTAGGAAGATATGGGACAAAGAATGTGCAGAAGAAAGTTAGAAAGAATGTCGGAAAGAATGTCAGAAGATATACCAGAAGATATGCCAGATAGAATGCCAATTAGAATGCCAGATAGAATGCCAGATAGAATGCCAGAAGATATGTCAGAATATATGCCAGAAGATATGCCAGATAGAATGCCAGATAATATACCAGAAGATATGCCAGATACAATGCCAGATAGAATGCCAGAAGATTTGCCAGATAGAATGCCAGAAAATATGCCAGAAGATATGCCAGATAGATATGCCAGAAGATATGCCAGAAGATATGCCAGAAGATATGTCAGAATATATGCCAGAAGATATGTCAGATAGAATGCCAGAAGATATGTCAGAATATATGCCAGAAGATATGCCAGATAGAATGCCAGATTGAATGCCAGAAGATTTGCCAGATAGAATGCCAGAAGATATGCCAGATCATATGTCAGAAGGTATGCCAGATAGAATGCCAAATAGAATGTCAGAAGATATGTCAGATAGAATGCCAGAAGATTTGCCAGTAAGAAAATGTATAAATGTCATGGTAATTTTTAATAGTACCTATTTTATATATATATATATTATATTTGTATTATAATGTATTATATATATATGTTTTAAATATATATATATATAAAAAATAATGTTATTTATTCATAGTATATATATATATATATATTATTTTTATGCATGTGCAGGTACAGAAAAGGGGTATGTTTCTTGTTTCATGTTAAAACCACTGTTTGATGGATGCGATACCCTTTTTGTTGCCAGGTAAAAAATCTTGCTGAGGTAAGATACTGTACCAATCACTTCTGGTAAAACAGTCCTTTTCATGGGGAGCATACAAATTTTGTTGGGATAAAGCACGTTCCCTTCATGGATGTCAACCATGCGCGAGATTTGCGAGCAAGTCAGCGCCTCACTTTGCGCTGAGTTTGAGCGCGAGGTGATCCAAATGTCTGAGGCGCAGGGCTGGTGTTGGATTCCAGCGACCTTTCAACAGAGTGTGAGTTACGAAACCTGTATTGGTGCATACAATGCTGAACTGATGGTTTGACATATTGGTTTTTCTAGCCAACACATGGGTTGATCCCCATTCGTTTTTGTAGCGGGGTTGAAACCACAAATCCGTCAAAACATCTTAAAACGTAAATCTACATATCGGGTCCTGGGTGTGACTTGTTGGAATACTGGATGCGTCGAAGATTGTGGGGGGCAAAGGTTAAAAAGAAGAGACATTTGCAGCACGAAACCATCCATGCTCAATCCATTATTTGGATCCAACCTGATTGGTGGTTTGGAATATTT